ATAGGACACAATTTTGTATCTGAATTGGTGCTCCACATAGTGTCTCCGTTGCTAGACAATACTCAGCTAGTTGTATTGTCTGTCTGTGAGTAGTGTCACAAAATCTTCACTAAATTGAATATAGCACAACACCTTTTTCTCTACTATTACCTCTTACCTTTTTGATTTTAATTATACCTAATTAACGTGTGTTTCTTTTAAATTCATTTGTAGGAAAAGAAAACATTTTTAAATCCACTATTTTTTACACGTCACAAACTTTCCAAGGTAATAAGAATCTGAAAGCGCTTTGCGAAATCGAATTTCTTATAAGCCTAAAATGTTTTCAAAATAAACGAAATACCTACGTTTCAATTGGAACATCCAATACACAAAATAATCACGTTCCTTACTTGGATTGACGTAGACGCTCGTTCACTCACCGCTTCGCTCGATGGAATCCATTCACTCGCTCATTCGCTCAATCATTCACCCCGCTTGCGAGTGGATGCATGCCTTTATGCAGAATTATTGAATTTCCGAATTCAAATAGAGTCAGGCATGGAGGCGAGGCGCCGACTAAAATCCATTTGGAAAATATTTATTCGCGTAACGACGGGAAAAGGCACTTAATGTGGATAATAAGTTCGCGAGTGTACTCTTCATTTCGTTTTTAAATGTCCGGGTGGCGGAACGGCAGGCGGTTAACCAGCCTAATGAATCGATATTGGATTCTTTTTATGCTTGGTTTATTGTTTTACGCTGTTATTTCAGTGAAAAGCTCACATACCTGGCTCTAACTTTATTACTACAGTTGTGAGTTAATCTAGTTTTTAGATTTTTATAAACCAAATGATAAATCAGTTACCTTTTACTTTATTAAAAGGGGGATTAAATTGGTATCTATATTATAATTAAAATCAATAGGAAAATATTTATACTTTTCTATTAGGTACTGCTAAGTACTGTATTAACTAAGCATCACAGTTTTTTGTGTGTATTTTAGAATACTTACTTATTTTTTTTATGTTAGAGGATGCAGACGAGCAGACCGGTCACCTGATGGAAAGTGATCATCGCCGCCCATGATGTCTGCAGCACAGGAGTCACAAACGCGTTGCCGGCCGCCGGGAAGGAGTACGCTCTTTTATTGAAGCGAATAAAATCACTTTTAACAACAATGTTTTATACTTATTTACAATTCTTCTTACATTTCTAGCATTTAGACACGATAAGAAGGTAAATTACACTTAGAAATTCAATTTAGTTCAAAATAAACCAAACTAAGGCAAAATGATCAGATTAGGTATATACGTGGCATATGAATTAGTACCTAATACTTGGGCGCACAAAAATAAATCGATTTTTAAATTAAGAGCTGCCTAATTATTTCCTGTATTAAAAAATTCCTCACATGTATTTTTTAACAAACCACAGAGTCCCAAGACGTATCTAATGATATCTTGTTTACTCATATTGATAAGAATCCAAGAATTATTTATTTTAAATCACGTTCGAAGGAGAAACGATTTCAAACCAGAAACAAAATCAACACAAAATTAATCAATTTTGGATGTTTCAAACCCGCTGTTTATGTTAGGCTCTATCAGTTATTGTAAACAGCGACGTATATTCCAATTCGTGTTTTTTTTACCCAGAGCTTCGATCATATTAACCATAAACTTGTCTGTGGTTTTAATGTAGCTGTGTGCTTAGTTCAGACGTTCCGCTCTGTTGAAAAACTAAGCTTTACTAAAATACTGTACCACATCGACAAATAATATAACATCGTTGTATTTAAGTCATATACATATTTGTTATAGTTTTAATTTTTCAGGTACCTATTAAAGTTAGAACTCTGCAGCAAAAGAGGATTTAAAAAGGATAAGATCTTTTTTTTTATTATGAAGCTTGCGCACTTCTTTTTCAGTCTCGAGAACGTGTATGTGGAACACTTAACTTGAGTTTAGTACGTTCCGTTGTGGTATTATTTTTTAAGTAGTAACCTAACCATTATTTTTTTTATTTTTTTAAAGACACCTCAACAAGCATAAATCCTGTGTCACGGGGGACTTTAGAAACATACATGAAACGGACACAAAGGACACTCAGAACAACAATTTGTGGATCACACAAAATGTCGTCCCATGTGGGGATCAGACCCACAATACTCAGCGTAGTAGTGAGCGGCGTGGCAACCGCTAAAATCACTACGCCATTCGTGCAATCAAATTGATCGAAATCGAACTATTACAACCTTACAGGGACATTATCTTGTTATTTTATTGATCATGATCATAAATTATTTAGGATGGCTTATGCGACGTACTCGCATGAACGTCATAGATGATAACTAATCGCCTAGTGTGAGATTAGTGACTGCACGGATGATGTAGTGTTTTAAGCGGTCGCCACGCCGCACCGGACACGTTCCAGCCTGCAGATATTAAAATTTCAAAATAAAACAAATCTCATTTTTAACCGACTTCAAAAAAAGGAGGAGGTTCTCAATTCGACTGTATTTTTTTTTTTTTTTTTTTTGTATATTTGTTACGCGATTACTCCGGCAATTATAAACCGATTTGAATAATTCTTTCTTTATTTGGTAGGTCATACGTCAGAGGTGGTCCCATTGTCACCAGGTCAGGATCTGATGATGGGATCCTGGGGAAATCGAGGGAAACCCTCAAATTTTGTAGGCATATACACTGTTTATCAGAAATTATCTTAATCTATGTAGATTTTTGCATCTAATGGTCACCATCTGATGTTGCTGAGCTGATGATGAAGCTGATGATGAATGGTTTAGGAGTATGGGATCTCTGTAACAAAATTATGTAATACCATCGAATTTGAATGTGTTTGAGTCTAATTAATAAGGACTCCGATCCTATGTGATATTCAGGGTCTGATGATGGAGACGGTAAATAGCCATGGGAACTCTGTAATAAAATAAAGCAATTCCGCCGTGTTTGTGCTCATTTGATTCGTCTCGACTAGGAGCTTCATGCTAGTCGATTTTTAACCAACATCAAAAAGGAGGGTTTTTGATTCGACATTATGTTTTCTTTTTAACCGACTTCCAAAACACAAAAGAGGAGGTTCTCAATTCGTCTGTATTTTTTTTTTTTATGTATGTTTGTTACGCGATTTCTTCGTCAATTGTGGACCGATTTTCAAAATTCTTTTTGTAATCGAAAGGGTATGCTCCCGAATTGGTCCCATTACCACCAATTCAGGATCTGATAATGGGATCCTAGAGAAATCGAGTGAAACCCTCACAATTATTGGGAATTTGACAGCCCGGACAACGTGTTTTAGCTACGAGTATTTCTTTAGCCAAACAAACCATGGCAACTGTCAGAGACTGCGCGATGTGATGCGCAGAGAATTTGCAGTATTTATGTCACCACAGTAATTTTCGTTGTATTAAGAAGAAAAGGTTGAAATTTTGTATTCTATCTTGTTAAAATAATTCGGATAGACGTTTAGTTGCTATGGATGGCATCGCATTTCGTTTGTAAGTAATTTTATACTTAATTTATTAAAATAGTTCTAAAAAAAACTCTTAAATTTTGGGTGGGTCAACTAGGTTAATTTCTAACATACTAGTATTAACCCTTCTAGTTGGAACTCCTTCTATAAAATATTGAGCATATTTGTTGAGTAGTCTCACTAAAGCTTCCCTATCTTCACCTTCGAGATCAGTGTCAATTGAATCGGAAGTTATTTTGTTCGGTTGCAACTCACAAGAATTTGACTGTTTCTTAGAAAAGAATTTAAGCTGATCTTGATCAGTTTGGACGCCAATGTCATTTTCATATCCTACACTAAAAATGGTAAAATAAACCCTTTTTAAAAAAAAAGTTGAACCGACTTCAAAAAACACCGACAAAGAGCACTAAAAATTAAAAAATAATTACAAATCCAAGTAAAAAACTATAATAAGTACCCTCAATGTAACAGGTAACATTATAATACCAATAGTCCCTTCTAGTCCCTTCCATATCTCTTTGAAAAATGATTATTTTTTACTCTTCCGAGTCACTTTCCATTAGGTGACCCGTCTGCTCGTCTGCCCCCTCTAACATAACAAAAAATGAAATGTGTCCTAAAATACTAAACTGTTTGCTTGAGAATCTGAAAAGACCTTAGAGATATAGCGAGATATGAACGAAGATATAATTTATTTAGGAGGATATACTTAATGTATAAAAAACCTAAAAAAAATACTTAGATGACGTTATTACTTGTTTAAACGGGAAATATTAACTAACGGTACCCTCTAAAATAGATTATAAAACAAATGCATAAGGACACCCAGGGAGCCCGAACGCACATAAATATTACTTAAAAGATAAATAATGCTACCTGAGGTAAAGTTTTCATTAAGTATTTTTTGCAAATATCTTTCAAACGAATCATCATATCGGCATGCAACGTATACACGTAATTACAAGTCGTACTTTAAAAAACGCCATTTTGTTATTAAAGAACTACAAAAAAAGTTTAACCAGTAACGGATCAGTAAACTAAACGTAAAACTAAAAAATGAACTGTGGTAAAGTCATTTTTGACAACGGGAAACAGTCAGATTGAATTATAGCAAACTTCGTGTGTTATAGAACAACTTTTAATTTATTCTATGATAGAATTGTCAAAATAGTTCAACATGATATAAAAATTCATTTACTTATATTAAATTATACTGTACCGTAATGGCATAAATATATTATTATTTACACTAAATTCTCAAATTAAATTAGTTCTCTAAAAATAAAAATTGTATTCTGAACTCTTTATTTGTTGCTATTGGAGATAGCAACATTATTCCTATAGAAGTTCACATCGTTGGTAACACTGAGAGCTTATTGTCATTCCAAACACCCCGCCGGACCCCGCGATGCTGCAGGACGCCGCAGTAGCGTCTCACTATCTGATAAAAAAATATTAGTTTCCTGAATTTATTCAAATTGTTTTAGTGAAAAGAATTCATTGAGTGTTAACTAAGTGTTTTCACGATGTTGGTTTTATTTGAAACCTCAGCGGGGTACGCTATTTTCAAGGTAAGTCACCACACGTGTTCTTTCTAACCTCTGTATTTTTGTATTCAAATATTACTGTTATTACTTATTATATTAGTGTAACAAATACGTATGAAGTATTTTAATTAATTTCGCTTATATTAAGTAAACACTGAGTATATATTGTGTAATGTTCTATTTGTAAAATCGCTATTTCTGAATTCAAATCCTAATACCATGCTTTATCATAACGTCAATTAAAATTAAAAGGCATGAGCGTGCTACAATATCTAAGATAGCGTATTTAAGAAACTACAGTGTAATTAACATGTGTGTTTTAGTTTTTACCAGTCCTATGCCTGCTTTTTACACAGTTAGGTTATTTCAAATGCAGTTTAAAATAAACAAATGTAAGTTTGTTAGTAAAAAGGTTGTTTCATTAAGTATTTAGAAACTTAATTATTAATCAGTCGTAGTTCTGACTTAACTATTTTGTTTGTTGATAATTTGTTTAGTAGCGAATAAGTACAGGTGTTTAATATAAATAATAACATGTGTGTATCATAAATTAACACATGATTTATTTATACTGTTATGTAAGACTCACAGCATAACATGAATATTAATGTCCATGAGTATTACAATCCCTTAATGATTTTATTAGGACACTGTATAGCATTTTAATTTTAAAGCTGCAATTCACATGTTTTAGTGAAATCTTATAGCTGTACTTTTAGATGAAACAAAATAAAAATGAATGTGGGAGAGGACTGAAAAACATGACATACGGAGCTGAAACGTGGACACTTACGGTACGGCTGGTCCACAAGTTCAAAGTCACTCAACGTGCTATGGAAAGGGCTATGCTCGGCGTTTCTCTAAGGGATCGCATCAGAAATGAGGTGATCCGGCAGAGAACTAAGGTCACCGACATAGCGTACCGGATCAGCAAGTTGAAGTGGCAGTGGGCTGGCCATATTAGCCGCAGAACCGATAACCGTTGGGGAAAACGAGTTCTTGAGTGGAGACCGCGTCTCGGCAAACGTAGTGTAGGACGCCCACAGGCCAGGTGGAGTGACGATTTGCGCAAGATGGCTGGCAGGAGCTGGATGCGAGAAGCCCAAAATCGATCTAAGTGGCGTGCAATGGGAGAGGCCTATGTCCAGCAGTGGACTGCGATAGGCTGATGATGATGATGATGATGATATTATTATGTAATTAGAGAATTACACAGACAGACTTTGACAAGGTACTTAACAGTGTCGCAGACAGCAGAGCAATGACTACTCACACATGTTCATAGTGCTACGTGCCTTAGTGACGTGACATAACTTAGTAACATGTGGTGTGAGTGATGTTACACTCCTAGAACTGCATAATATTCATTGATTTCACATGTACTATGATTGTGTTTTCATGTACAAGGTCTTGAATGGTAAAATTTACTGCCCTGGGTTTTAGGTAAAGTGGCTTAGTGTGTGTCAGCTAGATATGCCAGAAATCACATAAACCCTGTCTACATACCACCAAGAAGAACTGTGCTTGGAGACAACACCCTAAACCGACACTGTAGGTTGCTAAATAATGGTAGAGACCTCACCGATGTTCACATTTGATCTGATTTCGATCTGTCTCAAATATGTCGCAAGTTTAAATGAATTATAAGTTTTATTCTTAATTTTACTGTAAATAGTTTATTAACAATATAATATTTAGTTTATGTTGTTTTTAAACCTATTTTAAAACACTCTTCCACCAATGGAAAGCTACATTATCAGCAACTAACAAAGGTTACTTTTTACCAAAATAACTTACATAATTATTTAAAAATGAATACATATAAATAATGAAATACACAAAAGATAGAATTGAAAAACGTTGACGATGTTTATAAACATGTATTTTTATATATGTCATGTTATTTTTTTAATTCTTTCCATAACTTATTTTCTTTTCTTTTTTTTTTAGTTGTTGGATGAGTCAAAATTGTCACAGATAGATGACTTATATCAAGAGTTCAACACACCTGAGGGAGCAAGTTCAGTGTAAGAACTTTTGTCTTTTTTTTTTCAAATTATTTTCAATTAAGTATTAAAGAAAAGTATTTCTAGCACAAAAGTGGTCACCACCCCTATACATCCTGTAGGTGTTGTAAGAGGCGACTAAGGGAGCAAACTTTGCAGGACAACAGCACTGCAAAGAGTAGGAAATCTTGAAACAAACCCTAATCCAACCCGTCTGGCCAGCGTGGTATAGTAGGCCAAAGCCTCCTATCTAAGGAGAGGCCTATGTCCAGCAGTGGACTATTATAGGCTGTTGATGTAATGATGTGTGTGACCAAGTTTGTATGAATTGAATTTCATATTATGTCATTCTTTAATTGAGCAATAACAAATAAATTAGGTTTAAATAAATAAAACTAGGTATTTATTGATGAAGGTGAAGGTTAACCTCCGACGCGTCGCCGTCACAACAGTTGTGACACCAAATTTTTACGCGGTAGCGTCTCTGTCACAACATTTAGAAGAATATATATCAGCTATTCCAAATATGTTTATTTCATTGAATATAATTATAAAATAACGTAGATATTGAGGTAATAATGACTTCGCTCAGCTGTGACTGGGTCACTAGTTCAAGGGCGCGACAATAACGGGTCATAGGTCATCCGTGCGCCGCGACGTCCTAAGAGTTAAAGAAAGATATATTTTTTTACTTCAAAAATATCTCAGTTATGCAAAACTCAAATCATAAATTTTTCTTTTTAGTGTAAAGCTGAAAAACTTTTTTAAATTTGAAGACACGGCAGAAGCTCTAGCAGCCACCACAGCAGCTATTGAGGGCAAGCTGTCAAAGCCTTTAAAGAAAGCCTTAAAAAAATATGTTAGTAAAGATGTACAGGACCAACTCCTCATTGGAGATGCCAAGCTCGGCAGTGCTATTAGAGAAAAGTTTGACTTACAATGTGTGTCAAACAATAATGTGCAGGAACTACTCAGATGTATACGCTCACAAATGGACAGTCTTCTAGCAGGACTACCTAAGAAAGAGATGACTGCAATGGCCCTAGGTCTTGCTCATTCCCTATCTCGGTACAAATTAAAATTCTCTCCAGACAAGATTGACACTATGATTGTTCAAGCTCAGTGTCTATTGGATGATCTGGACAAAGAACTGAATAATTACATCATGAGGTGCAGAGAGTGGTACGGTTGGCATTTCCCAGAACTTGGCAAAATCATCACAGATAACACATTATTTGTTAAAATCGTCAAATTGATTGGCACCAGAGACAATGCCTCCCAGACAGATTTATCAGACATTTTGCCCGAGGATCTAGAGGAGAAAGTCAAAGAAGCTGCTGAGATTTCAATGGGGACTGAAATTTCCGAGGATGATATCTTGAACATACAAAATCTATGTGATGAAATCATCTCCATCACCGACTATAGGACACACTTAACAGATTATCTGAAAGCCAGAATGATGGCTATGGCCCCAAATCTGACCGTACTGATCGGAGAGCATATAGGAGCTAGGTTGATTGCTCACGCTGGTTCTTTAATGAATTTAGCTAAACACCCCGCCTCAACAGTTCAGATTTTTGGTGCCGAGAAGGCTTTATTCAGAGCTTTAAAAACGAAAAAGGACACACCAAAATATGGTTTAATTTACCATGCACAGTTAGTAGGACAGTGCAGTACAAAGAACAAGGGTAAAATGTCCCGTATGTTGGCTGCAAAGGCTGCTTTGGCTACAAGAGTTGATGCTTTTGGTGAAGATGTGTCATTTGAATTTGGAGCTGAACACAAAGTCAAGCTGGAGAACAGATTGAGACTACTGGAGGAAGGAAACCTTAGAAGAATTAGTGGCACTGGCAAGGCCAAAGCAAAGTTCGAGAAATATCACAGTAAAAGGTGAGTTGACCGTTAATCATTTATCTAAAACTCAAGTAAAATAGTAACCAATCAAATATCTTTATTTAATAAAATTTGATCATCATGAAATGATAAGTGATGATAAGTTAATACAGAGTCATTTGCTTTCATATATGAATATTTACTATTGTATGTATAATATCCTGAATTGGTGTACAAAAAAGATTATTCTATTCTATGTTGCAGTAAAATAATGTTCACAGTTTTACAATCAGTTTACTAGAGGTCTTGTAAAATAATTATATAATTTAATCGTGCCTAATTATATTACGTAATCATCGTTATTATAGAACGGAAGATTGTGTGATCAGAGACACTGTCTTCCGTTCATAATCATAGCATATATTTTAAATATTGTTTTGCTTTTGTCAAATCAATTCTTAAATAATAATTATTTGTCTTTGTCATAGTGAGGTATTCTCATACCCAACGGCTGGTGACAGTACTCTAGACCAGAAGCCCTTAAAACGTGAACACTCGCCAGATGAAGATGGACAGGTCTCTGCCAAGAAAATCAAACTGGAAGATGGTGTCAGTGATGTAAGTGTGTAAATAAATATACATATATTATTTTTTGCAATGTGATTAGTAAAATTGTAGTCCAGAATAGTCTTGCCATACTAACTAATAAACATTCGCCTTCCATGATGTATTGGGAATTAGCGTGATCAATCATTATTAAATAGCTTGGAAGTTTGGCCTTTTAAAGGTACATAAAACTTTCATTCCTGCATAAATAATTATGTAATAATTAGACTTGCAACGAATATTCGTTTACTATTCGGTATTCGGCCTATTCGGCTGCTTTTATTATATTCGGCCCAATACCGAATATCTACATATTATTCGGCCGAATACCGAATACTTAAATAATATATTTTGTCATTGAGAAATAATTGATAAAATGAAAAAACGATTGATTACGTATATATTCATATTTTTATTTCTGTTATAATCATTTAAGTAGTCATTGGTGCATAACACAGGTACATAATCATCTTCTGAATTGGAAAAATGGAGGATTCTATGTATTTTAATTATTGTAGTAATCAAAATTTAGAAGGGTAAGGTTCTCATTTCTTTTATAATCATTTATTAAGTAGTGATTGGTACATAAAACAGGTACATACTTTAATTCACGTCTGTACAAGTTTTTGGCGCTAAAATCCAGCCGAATACTTTTGCCTAATATTCGGCTATTCGGTCAGGGGCCTCGCCGAATATTCGGTATTCGGTATACTGCCGAATATACTATTCATTGCAAGTCTAGTAATAATACTTCATCCCGTGGGTGTCGTAAGAGCCGACTAAGGGAGCAAACTAAGCAGGACGACAGCACTGCAAAGAGAAGGAAAACTTGAAACAAACCCTATACCAACCCGTCTGGCCAGCGTGGTATAGTAGGCCAAAACCTCCTTTCTAAGGAGAGACCTATGTCCAGCAGTGGACTAGTATAGGCTGTTGATGATGAATACTACTCAGTACACTTTCATTTATTTGGATATTATGAGTATTGCTACAACTGTTGTGATGTTAAGCTATATTAGGCGTTAAGGACCACCGCCTGGGACTCTGCTCTGCATACGCTGGGTGACTATCCCGCATGGGCGTTTGAACACGATGTCCTGAAGTTCAATTCTTGTAATAAAGATTAGTGCAGAATAATTCGGTTCAGAACTACTCTTGATCTCGTAAATTTCATTTCGTTGACGGACGAGATCTGTCTCCGCCAATAATCATTACTGCCATGCTGGCGGGTGAGGGGGCTGGGACGCAGTGATCTCTTTCTGCGAAGCTGTCATGGTCCAGAAAGCGACCGCTGAACGGGATCGGGAGAGGGCCGATCCCGAGCGTAGAAGGCTTTTACGGTTATTTAGTAGAAACACCTCATACTCCGGGCGCTTGCGTCCCCAAGCAGTCGGTTTCAAAGGGTTTTCCACCTCGTCACTCAAAAAAACGGACCATAAGACCCAGAAATATAATATGGGGCATGACTGATCATTTATAGATAAGCGTTGCTAGACCACTTTTCTATTCAGAATAGACTAAAAATAAAAAAGACAAAGGTATTATTAATTGTGTACACCTTATAATTTGTAATTATATAATGTAGCTGAACTCTTAGTCACGTTTCACTGATCTTTTTTTTTAAGAATTTTAATATAGAGTAGAAAATATAACGCTACCACTCTTAAAAGAGTACCAGTGACAATAAATGTACCGATACTAAAAACGGAATATGAGGGTAAAACAATATTTTTATGCAGGTCACCCCCAAGAAGAAGAAGAAGATAAAGTCCGAACCTCAAGAAGAAGCTGATGTAAGTCAAGAGGTGGAACCTTCCGAACCTATGTCAGAGAAGAAAAAGAAGAAGAAGAAGAAATCTGACGTCCAACCCGAGGAATCTGAGCAACTGAACGAGACTGTGGAGGAGCCTAAGAGCGAAAAGAAGAAGAAAAAGAAAAGACAGTCGCAAATGGAAGAATAGCATCTACCTCCAGCCTAGTCGCTGTCAGAATTTATGTTATTAGTTTTAAGTGAAGTAGGTATTATAATTTTTATAACAAGGGTTATAATTAAAATTTATTATTGTACCTGTGATGTTTTATTTGATTTCACACGTCCATAGCAGGGCCAGACTAAGTGGAACTACAGTGAAATTAGTCTCGAGAAATTTTTGCATATGTAGTGGTGTGTATATTACTCAGATCTTAGAGCGCGTTTCCACTATATTAGTCTAAGAGCCCGTGAACCCCAGACCTTCGTTATTTTATAAAAGCTGAAAGTTTGTCAGCGCATGCTCCCAACACTGGTATGAACTATGGACCATTATGAAGTTTGGGTTATCGTGGCTTCGGCAGGTAAACGGTACTAAAGGTGCGTAAAATACCGATCTAAATTCATCAAATAATAAAGTGTGATTTTTTGGTATTACCTTCAGAATATTATTAAAACTCACGTTATTGCATGCCAGACACTTGACATAGTGGCAACCCCTTGCCAGACACCCTTAATGTTCATAAAATTATAATTCTACTTATGTTATAGTATAAAAGCTGATTTTTATATATAATACTTAGGTAATAATTAGATGATGTTTCCTCATTAGCCAGACATTTTTGATAGTTCCAACCCCTTGCCAGACAAGCATGTAAATCTTAAGAAGACATGCAAATAAACTTTTTGGCACAGATTTATGTAACTAATAATCTGTGTAAATTTTAAAAACATCTTAAGAAAAGACATTCGATGCTACAACTATTCTAAATTGTTAAAAATTTAAATTTATTCTGTCAATGACAGGTTATAAAAATAAAAAACCAAATAAAATAACACTCAAAAATGTAATTAAAAATAGATTAATGACATTACAAGTTATTATAAAGTATCATTTTCTTCGTCACTGTTACTCCATTCGATATCGTCGTCTTCTTCTTCGTCAGTTTGTGTAAAAATATAAAAAAGGTAAATGGGATTGAAAATATTAAAAAATAATGTATAATGGTTTGAAGTAGTATTTATACCTGAGACAGTTTTCAGTAATTCTCTGAAGAAATTTGGCAACTGATCACCTTCGAAGCATTTAAAATGGTTACTGATTATCTTCGAGAACCCAACCATTATTCTCGGGTTGATAAATTTTTGGAATTTGCTGATTTGCATTATTCCAAATGCTAGACACATAGTTGGCTCGCAGAAATTATTGTAGCAGCTCGGATTTACACGGTGGCAGACTGCTAGCATCAACATTTCGTAGTTTTTTACGGCTAAACGCTTCATTAATATCTAAGACCTGATATGTATTAATGAATAGATGATTAGTTGTAGTGCTGCATCAAAATCAGTTATCGAACCGACGTTGTATACCTCACATATAAACCGTTGAATAATATCAAAAGTGCTTTGTTATTCATTATTATTTTCGAATAATTCGTGTTTACCAAATTTAATGAAAGCTTTTTGATACTCTTCCGTTTTTTTTAATAATTTAATTTAAAAGACCTCTACTTTCCTTTTCGGAAAAATGCAGGATTATAATCACAACCTGTGATCGCATGGAATCCTGGTAAGCTCTTGCAAAAAGATTTACCTAACTTTACGTAAATATCTGTGAGGTTTACGTATCTCTAGTTATTCCCAGTGCCTATCAACATCCAAATAAATGAATCATTTTGTAGATGGTGCATATGACCAAGCATGATAGCTGCAATGTCGACACTTCTGATCACAATATTTAATTGATATGGAATACTGCACGCATGATAGACTATTTTGGTATCAGCCTCTTCATGTTTTGGACATGATAACTCTTCTACGACCCTTGTTACTACATTGTTAGAAGCATTAACAACAAAAGAATGGCACTGTTTAGAATTTATGTGAATAGTTTTATTTCCAATAAAAGGTATTATTTCATCACTGGCCCAATGCAAAATCAAAAAATCCACCAGAGCTTGTTTAAAATTTTGAAACGCACCCACCCATACAAATACTGTCTAGCGCTCGCTCCTACAGCTACCCTACATACTTATCTGGCAAGGGGTTGGAACTATCAAAAATGTCTGGCTAATGAGGAAACATCATCTAATTATTACCTAAGTATTATATATAAAAATCAGCTTTTATACTATAACATAAGTAGAATTATAATTTTATGAACATTAAGGGTGTCTGGCAAGGGGTTGCCACTATGTCAAGTGTCTGGCATGCAATAACGTGATTTTTAATAATATTCTGAAGGTAATACCAAAAAATCACACTTTATTATTTGATGAATTTAGATCGGTATTTTACACACCTTTAGTACCGTTTACCTGCCGAAGCCACGATAACCCAAACTTCATAATGGTCCATCGTTCTTACCTGTGTTGGGAGCATGCGCTGACAAACTTTCAGCTTTTATAAAATAACGAAGGTCTGGGGTTCACGGGCTCTTGCTCTATATCGTTCTGGCCTATACAAAAATGTTTCGATATCCTAACATTACTATTTAATTTTATACTTATCCCTAGCAACACTGATTTTTGTTTTCAATAAAAACAAGTTTTTATTTTAAAGAAAAAGGTTTTGACTTTATAAAAAAAAAGGTGTGTGTGCGATTCACACACGATAGAAGTGAAACTTCAAAGAGGAGAGACCGATATTTAAATTTTTTTCTAGTTTTGGTTGCCGAGACACCAGGGCCTCAATTCTGCTATTTTATGTTTACGCCAAGCCACTGTCATACCACTGACACGCTATTGAGATGCCATCGAGTGGCCATTGGTATCGGTATAAATATCGGTAGTTGAAAATATATTACGTTTTTTGAGGAAATGTTTTCTTTATTTTGTTAGCTATAATAAATTACTAAAAGAAATAAATAAATTATTAAAAAAAGAAAATTATAAAAAAACGAAAAAATAAATTATTAAAAAGTGGTATGACACTGGCTTGGCGTGAACATAAAATAGCAGAATTGAGGCCCAGATCACGTGAATTGACCTTTCTATTGATTCGAGTATGTTCGTATCCGGTGTTACACTTTTCTAAACAGATATCCCTGTAAGTTTACTGATACGGGACGACGTGGTTTTCGGTGTTACTTTTCCAAGTCTGGTAACACTCCTATTGATTCACAGTTGCGATGGGGGTAGAATATACGAGGTAGATAATTTAACCGTGTAGGTACAGTGGGAATAAAGTTCCTATTGCAAAGGAAACTAATTCGAGCTCGAAACTTAACTCTTAAAAGTTTATATTTGTATGCGTTGATTGAAGGATGTACATTGAATTTTGTTTTATACTAGCTAGGGGCTCGCGTGAAATTTGAAAAACGTTGCCTTAGTGGGTTCGATTCCTGAACCGGGCAAAATTTTATAAGATTTTTCAGAGAGAAAAAAATGCCTAAGTTACTCCTTATATCGTCAGCTACCTGGTAGTAAAATATTATCAAAATCGATCCAGCCGTTTCGAAGATTACCCGGAACAAACAGACCGATACAAAAAATATTTAAACTGGTTTTTAGGCATAGGTATCGGGCAAATAACCGTGTGAGAATGAAAAAACCTACATTACAAGCAGACACTTCAATTTTATTTATTTGTATAGATTAACTAGCTGAGACCCGCGGTGTTACCCGCGTTTGTTGTTATAACCGCGGGCAACGCCGCGGGGCGAAGCTAGTCTAAAAGAAGTAGCCTTAGTTACTCCTTATGTCATCAGCTATCTGCCAGTGAAAGTCCCGTCGAAATCGGTCCAGCCGTTCCAGATATTACCCGAAACAAACAGACAGGCAGACAGACAAAAATTGTAAAAAATGTTATTTTGGCATATGTACCGTGTAAACATACATACGCATTTAGTCATCAACAGCCTATACTAGTCCACTGCTGGACATAGGCCTCTCCTTAGAATGGCATTTAGTTAAAAGCGGTTATTTTAATATTACGAATAGACACTCCAATTTTATTTATTTGTATAAATGTTGTACCTACCAACATACTCGTACATATACGTACGATTATTTTATCCATCAGATCTGACCTTACTTAATTAAAACTCTTTTACATCATTCTTGAGAAGACGTAGTTGGCATTGCTAGCAAAATAGGTATTCATAATTATCATAAGAAAAATATTATAAGTGTGTTTAACAATACGTTGTCTGCAAGTTGAAGACAGACGCTGAACATTCTCTATTTTCAGTTGCTTCAGTATGGAAACATTTGTGCCATGCGCCGTCCATGGTATCCTTAACGTACCAACACCACATTTCAAAGGCATCAATTCTCTACCTATCAGCGGTTTTGATGGCCCGTCTCTGCACCATACAGACCAATAGAGAAAACAAAATTATTTACAAACATATTTAATATCTTCATTATTAACACTTAGTGAGTTCTTTCCATCACCAAGGATCAATTCCGTGTGCCTTTTTTATTAATGTAAATCACTTTCTTCAACATGCGTTATTCAAACATCCCGGTCGAACCCGTTTATATGGCGGTAAGTATAGAAAATCAGAAATAACAACATAGAGGGCGCTTCATGCATAATGGCGGCGGGTTAGCAGCCCATGGGGATCAACAATTTGGGTTAATCTTACGTCTGTTGGTAATAGTGTTGATTTTTTTGCTCACGAGTGATTGAACCTTTCATTTTTCAAAGGCTAAAATATCTATTGTGTTCTCAGGATGGGTTGATGTTCAACGTGATAGGTTAGTGATTTACCTTAGAAATTTTAATACTAATACTTACTTAACGGATTATCGTGATATATATTTTTTAAAGACAACTGCATCAGAAATAGTATATCCTGTGTCGCGGGGGAGGTAACAAACATATAAATGAAACGTTTCTTACTTTCAGCTTATATTTTTCAATTATCCCCATAGGAAATATAAGATTTTTGCTTTAAGAACTATTTCCCTCCCAAATATTTCTAACTTTCTATTAACTTTTTGTGACATCACCACGATTGCTATGCTTTACAAAATCATGCACATC